GCGACGACCCTCCATCCTCTATCCTGGCATCGAACATTACATCCCATCATCCATCCTAATCGAACGTCTAAATTATTGGCCATAGTCGCAACCCTCCGTGCCTCAATGTACTCGTACCTCCACCGTTCACCCACCACTCCCCGTCCGCGTCGAAACCCCCATGAGCACCACATTCCCCCCCCCACACTATCATCCACCATCATCCAACCGCCAGCATTGCCCATCACCCACCCACTATCCTAGCTGCAACCCCCCATCATCCATCATCCCACCCCTCTCCCATTTATCGCGCCCCCTCCCTTCATCCCGCGCGTCCTCGACGGGCAGAGCTGCCTGCCCCATCAAGTGCAAGTAGTGGTTCATGCTATCCTTCTCGGCAGGGCTGGCGTCCTTGACCGCCTGCGAGACGCGGCGGGGGGGGAAGGGGCGGGGGGGGGAGGAACAGGAGACAGGAGGACTAGGGGGAATAAAGAAGAAGGTGGAATAGGAAGGGAGGGAAGGGGAAGAAGAGGAATAGGACAGAAGGATGAATAGGAAGGGGAGCCATCGCCCCCTCCGAATGCATCGCGTGATCTCTCCCTGCCACCGTCCTGCCACCTCCCCCCTCCTACCCCTGTGCCCTTAATCCTCCTACCGCATCCAACAGCTACACCCCTCCACAGAGGACGTCGGGCCTGGCGCAGGCGGATGCTGCTGTCTCTGACCCTGCGCAAGTGTTTGAGGATCACCTGGGATACAAACACATAATTTTCCAACATCGATATGGCTTGGTCTGGCACAGTGGACTGAGCAATGCAGGCAACCATGACTGCATGGTCTGGCATGCTCGCACTCATTGCCACATTCCACACAGCTGGACCAAGCCAACCATATTATTTACAAAATCATACACCCCCCCTGATCGCCATCAGCTTCTCCGCCAAAGAGCCAGCCCTCGTGAGCGAGGGCTGCGTGGGATCCTCTCTGGTGCACCGAGGGTACCTGGGAACGGGATGACGAAACAACCTGGCGAACTTTTGAAAAACGTCTGGCAAACTTCTGGTAAACGCCTGGCAAACTTCTGGTTACAATCTGACAAAGTTCTGACAACCGTCGGTAAACGTTTGGGAAACTTCTGACAAACGTCTGGAAAACGTCTGGCAAACTTCTGGTACAAATCTGACAAACTTCTGACAGCCGTAAGTAAACGTCTGGGGAATGTCTGGCAAACGTCTGGAAACCGTATGGTCAACTGATGGTAAACGTCTGACACGTGTCTGGTATGGTTCTGTAAACGTCTGGCAAACTTCTGGCACATTTCTGGAATACGTCTGACAAACGTCTGGTAAACTTCTGACGCGCCGATGGTATGTTTCAGGAAATATAGGGCAAACATCGGAAAACAACTACTGGAAAACGTCTGGCAAACTTCTGGCAAACTTCGGACACACGTCTGACGTGGTTCAGGAAACGTCTGGCAAACTTCTGGCAAACTTCTGGCAAACTTCTGGCAAACGTCTGGCAAACTTCTGGCAAACTTCTGGCAAACTTCTGGAGACGTCTGGCAAACTTCTGGCAAACTTCTGGCAAACGTCTGGCCGACGTTTGCCAAAAGTCTGGCCAACGTCTGGCAGACGTATGGCGAACCACTTCAAACGCCTCTCCGTGTCCTCCTCCTTCTCCTCCTTAGTGTCCTCCGTCTCATCCGTATCCTCTAACATTTGTCTTGCCGAGGATCCTCCTCCTCCTCCTCCTCCTCCCTCTCCAACTCCACCTTGGCTTCCGCGTCGCCCTCCTGATCTTCTGAGTCTCCTCCTACCCATTCGCCACCCTCCCACACCGCCGTTTCGCGGCGGCACTTGTCGATCGCGAACAAGCACGCGCCCCTGAGGCAGCTCCACTTCACCTCGGCCCCTGGAATGTTGCGCAGCAGCACGTCAACCTGGGACGGTGGCAGCGGGGCATTGTTTCTGTGGCTCCTCCTCCGCCCCCCCCCCCTCCTCCTCCACCTTCTCACCCTCCCCCCCTTCCCTAGCCCGACCCCCGTCCTCCTGATAATCATCGCCCTGATCATCCTGACTGTTTTGTTTGATCGCATCGTCCCATTCCCCCCTAATCGCGCGTGGCAGAGGGGGGGTAGAACGGGAGAGGGTGGCAATCGCTTAAGGGTGGAGTAGAACGGGAGGGGCGGTTGGATCTAGGAGCAGGTGGCAATCGCTTAAGGGTGGAAATGGTGATGAATTTCGCCCGAGCGCACCAACGGAAACATATTGTGCAGGGACCGCGCGCACACCGCGCGCGGCTTGGTAAGAAAGTTATAGCTGTATAAACTGAAGGCCCTCTTGCACCCTTGGCGCACGATGAGCTTGCGGAATTCCTTCCCGAGCTCCACGGGGTCCAGGTCTGGGAGGGGCACCCTGACTGGAGCTGCCGCCATTCTGGCGGTCGGGGGGGCCAAGGGGCACGGCCGCGCGCAGCAGGCGGGACAGAGCCGACAGGGGCCGCCGCAGAACAGTGGCGGCGGGGAGGAGAAATAAGAAAGCAGGGACACATTTGATTAGGGGGAGGGGGAGAAGGAGGGAGGAGGAGGAGGGGATGGGGAGGGGGAGAAGGAGAAGGGAGAAGGAGGAGGGAAGGGCCGAAGGAACGGGAGGGGGATAAGGATTTTGTGTTCCCACGCTGACCTTCACGCCCGAGTGTAGTACTGGCGCCTGGGCAGCTGCTCGGCCCACCTGTAGCTCGCAACCTGGAGGCCCGAATCGTCCTCCCACATCATCATAATGAGGCGAGGGAGACCGTGCGCAGTGGGGGAGCGAACTGGCACGATGGTCAGGGCGGGCTGGTGTTCTGCCCAGCCCGCGTCCACGTGCCAGCTGTCCACCATGCGCACGCTGCCGCCGACAACCACGATGGCGTCGGGGCAGCCGGGCCACGGCGCAGGCGACGCCTGCGCCATGGCCGCGTCCAACCATCCGCGGTTCTCCACCCGCCTGCCTGTTGGCCCCCTCAGCGGGAGCCCGTGGCCTATGGTGCCGATCTCCTGCAGGCGCCACGGGGCGCCGAGCCCTGGGGGCGGCGGAGGGGCGATCTCCACCGCGAACACGAGGGCCATGCAGGGTGGCATCGCGCCCCGCGTTCAAAGAGCTGGAGCAAGACATGGCAAGGAAGGGGAATGGCGAGAAAAGGTCGGGAGGACGGCAGGAGGGGAGGCAGGGGGCGGGCGGCAGGAGGGGAGGGGGGGCAGGTCGGGAAGACAACAACAACAACACCACCACCAACAACAACAACAACAACACTACTACTACTACTACTACTACTACTACTACTACTACTACTACTACTACTACTACTACTACTACTACTACTACTACTACTACTACTACTACTACTACTACTACTACTACTACTACTACTACTACTACTACTAGTAGTACTTTTGCGACCACCATTTTTATGATTGGTGCTACTACTACTACTACTACTACTACTACTACTACTACTACTACTACTACTACTACTACTACTACTACTACTACTACTACTACTACTACTACTACTACTACTACTACTACTACTACTACTACTACTAGTATCAGAAAAACTTCAGACAAACTTCAGGCAAACTTCAGGCAAACTTCAGGTAAACGTCAGGCACACTTCAGGTAAACTTCAGGTACACGTCAGGCAAACTTCAGGCAAAGATGGGGCGCAGATCGGCAAGTGTAGATTTCAAGATGGGTAGCGAACGCCATGCGGAAATGGGTAGCGGTGACCTCATAGATGGGTACCGTGTCACGGGCAACCGCGCACTGCGAGGCCCCATCTCTGCGTCCGGTGCCGGGAGATGGGTCGCGCCCCATCTTTGCGATCTGCGCCCCATCTTTTTGGAGCTCCGAGCATCTGGGAAGCGTTACGGTGGCCACGGCCCACAGAATCGGCAGGCTGTCATGCGTCGTCGAGATGCAGAGCCGACGCTCTGAGAGCCCCTCCCCGGGCCATCGACGTCGGCAGCGTTGTCGAGATCCGCCGCGGACCCCGCAGCGATGAGGCGCCAGAGCACGGACATAAGAACGGGGACCGCGGAGGAGGAGTATTCGCGCCTTTCGTGGCGCCAGCGCTCGCAGAGCCGCCGGCGCCACGACGGGGCCCGTGGAACTGGTGCGGCTGGAACAGCAGCTTGGGCAGCGGCGATCGGCGGAGCGACGACTAGCGCTGGTGATGAGAGAGAGGCCGAGGACATCTCGGACGTGTGGTTCGAGTGTCCTCTGATCGCATTGGAGCTGCGCTCCGAGCATTCTGGCGCGGGCTGCTGCGGGGCGGCAGGCCGCGGTGGCCTTCTGGGCCGATCGTCGGGCGGCGCCAAGGGCTGCGTCAGGAGCGACCCCTTCCGCGCCGCGGGCGTTACCAAAGGTTTTCGCGGTTGGCGCCGCGGGGGCCGAAGTGCCTTGGGAAGAGGCGAAGTCTAATTTATGGCTCTAGGAACGTGCCGGAATCAGGCTGGTGCGCCCCGCCGCAGACTGGGGGCGCTAGCTAGAGGCCGAAGCCCGATCGGGTGCGGGGTCCCGCGCCGGGCCGGCCGCGGAAGGGGTCATTGGCGACGCCCCCCTCGCGTGCCCTGCCGCTGCCGCCGCCGCTTCCCTTTGCAGAGGTTGCCGTCGGCAGCGACGATAGCAATATACCAACTACTGCTCAGAGAATGAGGCGCGCCCGCGCGCGCCCCGCCCCTGCCGGGGCCGGGCGCCCCTGCGTTGACATATGCAAGCATCTTAGATCCAAGTGCAGTAGATTTGCTCACCGGAACTCCTACCAGATAGCCATGGTTCCAAGCGCGTCCCATCCGAGACTTAACACTCGGGACCGCTAATCACCTCAAGATGGCCTGCGAGAACATCCGGACCAAGTGCTTATCAACCGGGCCAAGATGATCCCCGAACATATGATGAGTAGGCCACACGATGGGAGGGGGGGAGGCGAGCTGGGAGGAGGAAACAAACGGCGACGCATATTTTGATTGGCCCCAGGCGCGCTCGCCGGCAGGGCAGCGGCGGGGGCCCAAGCGTGGCGGCGGCACGGAGGCACCTCAGAGGAGCCAAGAGCGATGGCCACACCGCGGTGGGGTACCGAGCGTCGGGCAATTTTGGATCGCGCGTCGCTGCGCCGGCGCTGGCCCGCCACGCCTCGGCGCGACGGGCCGTCCACGTCATCAGCCCCCGGGCTTCAGCGTCCCGAGCCTCTTGGGATTTCCCGCCCCGCGGAGCGGAATGGCACGCTGTGCAGAAGTTCTTCGCCGTAAGTTCCATGGTCTCCGCGACGCCCCGCCAAGACATGCTCGCGTCGTAAAAGTAATGTGTGGCGCAAGGTTTTTGACAGTTTTCGGTATCTGGGGGCCTTCTCTGGGCCCTGGGGCCGTCAAACCAAGCTCAGGATGAAAAGCCGGTCCCCAGTGAAGTGTCGAAATTTCCGGGGCATCGCTTCCGTTTGTCAAAGGCACAGACATTGCATGTCAGGGCACCGTTCCCCGTGAATTGCAGACATGAGGGCTGGTGGATAGTCCGGAAATCCTGGAGCGCATAATGAGCCCATCGCATCGCGACGTTGTTTTCGTCCTCGCGTCGTGGTTCGTGCCTTTCTCGGCCGTCCACGAAGAAGCGGAAGCAAACCAGCCATAACCGGGGGAGCATTGGCCCTTGCCATTTGGGGGGTTCCATCGGCTTCGATGCCCATCTCGACAGATCGTTGCTACGGTTCGATCCACCAGGGCGGGATGAGGAGCACAGCTCCCCGGTCGTGGCTGGACGAGCAAGCATGCGCTTTTGTTTGGATGGCCCAGTGGGTATCACTGACATGTTCACACAGGGTTGTGGGGCGTAGACAACCTTTGTCCCGACAGCTTCTGCGTTCCATGGCGTCCAGATGGCCTGGGCAGTCCCCGGATAGCCCCAGATAGCCCTAGGCAACCTCCGATGGCCACGAATAGAATCCGAGTGCCTCCTTTGTGGTGTGGGCAGCCAGGCAAGATGTGGCATAGAAGGAGCCAGGCGAGCCGCTGTCGATCCCTCTTGGATGTGTCGTAGGCTGTTTTTATTTTCGTGGTTGGCCCCTAACCTGATGCATGTTGGTCGGGGGATGCTCTGTCCCGCCGCTGTGGCACTTGGGTGATGCGTCTCAGGCTCGCTTCGTGTTGTGTTGTTACGTTTACGTTTTGACGTTCGGTTCGATGTATAATCGTCGTGCGCAGGGTCACGGAGATCATCTTGTATAAGCAGGTGGGCGAAAGGTTTTTCTGCGAAGGGTGGGCTCGATTCCATCATCAAGAAGTCCAGGAAACTGCCGCCATATGTCGACATCTATAAAACGAGGAACAGTACTAGAAGGGCTCTCTTGAGAAGGCGAAGCCAAGATGTCGGCATGCCGCTGTCAAAACAGGATGCTCGATATTGTAACATTTTGGAAGCCAAGTTCGACAATGAGACGAACTGCGTTGGCCTTGCAGCCCCGCAAATTGGTATTGACAGAAGAATCATAGTGTTCGAGGTATTGGCCGATGACCCGGACAATGAGGGGAGGAATGTAACACAAGAGATGAGCAAAGTTCTTTGGATTAACCCATCATATTCTCCATTGACAGACGAGATGCAGTACGATTATTCGGTGGCTTTCGGCGCATCCCGACGCTGTGCCCGGGCTGTGGGTTGTCAGCAAAGAAGACAGCAACGGCCGCAGGCCAATATTCCTGGGGAGACTGCCCCATCGGCTTCGAAGATCTGTGCTTGAAATTCCGCGCCGCGTGCCGCGGCCGTAACGCTTCTTGGTTGCTGTGGTGCCCTCGGTTGGTTGTCTGATGACACGTCTGGGCCCCTGTGGGGTTCCTCGGGGGCCTCTTCGGGGGCCTCACTTGCGCTCGGGAAGAGCCTCGGGGAGCCTCCACGGGGGCCTGTTGTGGGTCTCTGGGGCGCTAGGGAGGACGGGGGGACATGGTCCGGGGACATGGCGGGAGGACAGGGCGGACCCTGAAATTCCGGTCCGCCCTTTGGATCTTGGAGCACATGAATGGGGGTTATGTGCCATATTGGCATTCTCTTGCGTGCCTGTTAGACCGTCCTGAAGCTGGCAGGGTAATAAACATATCATCGCAACATGCTCTACGCTTCTCTTCGCGAGTGTGGCCCCTTGCGGGCCCCCCAACCAACGGCCACCAATGCCCCGAATACTGCCCCCAGACAGAATCTGTCTCCAGAACCTCGCTTGAAAGACATCCTTGCAAGCAGACCGAGAGTCGGCCCAGAAGATATTATGCGAACAGTTCCAGGCGACCCGAAAGCTCCTTGACTTCGGGAGGCTGGGGCTTTCGATGGGAAGCTCTTCGACATTCGATGTTCTCAGGACTATTAAGGACCTCAGGGCACTCCATCACGTGCCAGAGGCACTGTAGCGGATGAAGGGTGCTTCTCTGTGAATGCAACCACGGTCATGGGGAAGGTTCCGCGGCCCAAACGGATTGCATACCAGGCAACCTTGCGAAATGGAGATATAGTAGAGGGCGAAGCTGTGGACTTCCTGGCCCGCGTAATCATGCACGAGATAGATCATGTTGACGGGGTTCTTTTCATAGACAAGGCCTACAGCGAGACCGTCTTTGACACCCATCCGAAGAGCTCCCGCTGTTCCGGTAAGCCGAGCGTGGGCACAGGATGCTCAAGTGTGACTGCTACGCAGCAGGCGTTATGTATGGCGCGTCTTACCATCCCCTCTGCATGCACTAACCACGTTCCCCACTGCATGCATTCCTGGTGCACGAGTGGCCTTTGCATGCAATGCAGCCGGGGCGCTGAGGAAGGAACCCTTTTCGTCGGGGAGGGGCTTAGGTGGGAAATCGAAGCTTAACTTTTGGGAAAAAAGGGGCCCCGATCCTTGTTTAGGGTTCCTGAGGTCAGCCAGGGGTGGACCTACGCGGTGTTTCGGCGATTTCGTGGGCCGTTATTCGTTTCGATGTCGTTTTGCAGCGAAGGCGAACTCGAGACGAAGCGAGGGAAAACGAAGACACAACGAAAACGAAGCACACTGTTCGGGTCCAGCCCTGAGGGCAGCGCCCCGACCGTAGTCTCGGCGTGCGATGACGGTGCAGGCGCCGCTCGCACCCCCGGCTTCCTGCGCGCCGGGGCTCTTCGGGAACCTTGAGACGGGGGTCAATGCAAACAGGGGTCAGCCACGGCACCGGATCCTGCGAAGACCCCCTTTGGCTGACCCGGGTTAGCGAGCCGCTCGTGGCCGCGAGGCGGTCGCACATGTTGGCTGACCCAGGTTTGCGAAGACCTGCGTTGCAAGTTTTTTTTTCCCTGCATTGCAGTTTTTGGTTTCCTGCTGACCCGGGTCTGGGTTGACCCGGGTCAGAAGATCCCCGAGCTTTGCGCGCGTGTGGCCCGCACCTCGCTGCTCCGCACGCGCCGCTGCGGCGCCGGGCGTGGCAGGGCCCCCTGTGTGGCTCCCGACGGTTGTGGCACGTGCGCGCTCGCAGACAGCTCGACGGCCTCTGTGAATGCACGGGCGCGGAGGGTTTCTCCGAAGGGTTCAGGCGACCCGTCCTCCTCCCCCTCCTCCTCCTGCTGCTCCTTCTCCTCCTCCTCTCTCCTCCTCCTCCTCCCTCCTCCTCCTCCTCCTCCTCCTCCTCCTCCCTCCTCCTCCCTCCTCCCCCTCCCCCTATCCCTCTTCCACCTTCTCCTCCGACTCCTCCTTCTCCTCCTCCTCCTCCTCCTCCTCCTCGGGTCGCCTACGGCCCCGGGGGAAACCGTGCACACGGGAGTTCCTCTATGTGCTTGAAGCGTTCTAAATCGACAGGGTTCGACAACACATTGTGTTGAATTGGTTTCGGTTTGGGCTTGCGCATGTGGCTTCCATGCCATTACGTGAGCGGGATTCGTACGAATGTGTGATGCCCCTGCCTGCGCAGCGAATTATCAGATTTGGCAGAGATGTTGGGGCAGTCGGTACCAGCCTGGCTGGGATGGCAGGCATGGCGGTCGACACACCTGCGTTGTAGTAGAAGGAACCATCTGCGCCCTAAATGCTGAACTCGGTGATACAATCGGATGTTGGGTGGTGAGTTGGGCGGTGAGATCGCAACGAGACGGACCGCGCCCTCGCGGCTTGGATTCTGGGGCGCGACCCTGCGGATACGCGGGCGCACAGGTATGTTGTCTGCGGGGCGTCCGGGGAACAACGCACCACATCCCCGGGGTCGCGACCCAGGGGCTTTCGCCCGCGAGGCCGCGGGTACGGATGTGCGTCTCGCCCACGAGAGGGCGCTCCCACCGGGAAATCGGTGTCGGTTTCGTGTCGCGCGTGCGGGCGAGGCAAAAGGCTGCGCGGGCGATCCCGAGCGAGGTGGAGGCGGAGGAGGTCGAGGAGGAGGGAGGAGGAGGAGTGATCCCGCCCTGGCGTGTGCGAAACTGGCCGCAGCGTGTCTTTCCGCCCCTCGGTGAGCTGGCGGTGGCCCGGGGGGCGTCCCGGCTGTGGCCCGTGGTGCTCCGGGGGTGTCCCCGTGGTGTCCCGTGGTGTCCCGCGGCGCAGTGCCCCGCGGTGTCCCGTGGAGGTCGATCGTGAGATGGACAGTGAGATCGACTGTGAGATAGATTCACTGAGATCGTTAGTGGGATCGATGGTGAGATCAATCGGCAAACCGATGGTGAGATCGATAGCGATATGGAGACTGAGGTCGACTGTGATATCGATATGTTGTGATATCGATCTATATGGATATAGGGACCTCCATAGTACTAGGATCGATACGTCGATGGAGAGTGAGATCGATCGTGTGGTCGGTAGATTGTCTGAAAGTGGGAACGATAGTGGTTGCGAGATCGACAGATAGTGAGACCGAAAGTGAGGTCTCAAGATTTATCATACTGTTCGATCGATTGTGAGATCGATGGTGACATCGACGGTGAGGTCGATTGATAGTGAGATCGATGGATAGAGGGAGATCGATAGTGGGATCGATCATGGCTTTCCGTGGTGTCCCGTGGTGTCTCGTGGTGCCCTACCGCCTTGTATGTTCTTGGCTTTTTTCCCGAAGGGAACAGTGCCCGGGCAAATCAATGCCATTTGGCTCCATGATGAATCACCCAGATGTTTTCTGATTGATGTCCCTAGGGATAGGTGGATGGCCAACCAGATCCCTCTCTCACCAACCTCCTTATCACTCGAAGAGTGGTTGTATAGGTATATGTGTTGCAACTGGCACGGTGCATTCTACGAATGTCAATCTCAGCGGAGGAAAAGGTACCCATACCGCTACCCTTTCCTCGCTTCCCACTGGTTGGGGTTTCCTGCGAGGCTCTCGTCACCGCCAGTGGATTCGCCTCGAGATCCTGGCCAGCACTCACCCCAGGAGAGGTCTGGGGACTAGCAGTCTCGGTACCTTTCTGGCGTCCACCATCAATCTATGTGGTGCGTGGCGGCTACGAGCGTTTTTCAATCCTATGGGCCATGACGAACGTTATGCCCCCACCCTCCCCTCCTCCCGCCCCATGACGTAACGCTCCCCCCTCCCCCACAGCGTCCCCCACAGCGTCCCCAGTGCGTGCGGTACCACAGTCTGTCACGGTGGGGGGCGGGGGCATTACGTTATTCGAAGAAGAACAAAAACAAATAAACATAAATTCTTTGCGCTCCGCGCGGATTTCTTGGATCCGCGCTCCGCGCGCCAGGGAGGGGGTCCAGCGCAGATCCAAGAAATTCGCGTGGAGCGCCAACAGTTTATGTCTATAGTTTTGTTTATTATTCTAGCTATGCCCCCTCCCCGCCCCCCACGCACCACGCCCGTGATCGTAAACATGTGCTCGAAGTAGTTCGGGAACGCCGGCCAGCGCGCGAGGCGGCCACGGGGGTGGCCATGGCCCCCCACGTCCTCCTCCCTCCCTCCTCCTCCCTCCCCCCTCCTCCCTCCTCCTCCTCCTCCTCCTCCTCCTCCTCCTCCTCCTCCATTCCTTCTCCTGATAGGTAACGCCTCCCTGTCGCACCCCGAAGCCAGTTTTTAGGGCGGGCCGGGCGTTGGAGCGTAAAAAGTGGCAACAGTTTCTCGGATGGAGGGCGGGTCGCTTTCAACATGTGGCTCTCGCCTGAGCGCCGCGAACATTCGTTTCAAACAGTTGCAAGAGTTTCACGGATTGAGGGCGGGTGGTTTTCAAAATGTGGCTCTCGCCTGAGCACCGCGCACATTCGTTTTAAAATTGTGCGAGGGCTTCACGGATTGAGGGCGGTTCCTGCTCAAAATGTGTCTCCCGCCTTAGCGCCGCGCACATTCTGTTTAAACATTTGCAAGAGTTTCACGGGCTCCGATGATCAACCTACCAGAAACGGTGTTTTGGAAGGATTCAGGATTATGCGGGCGCCACAGTTATGTTGATTCGCTGTGTTGAAGTCCCAAAAATTGCGTTCTGGCCCGATTCTGGATCGTCAAGACGCAGCAGTCAGGTTGATACGTGGCGTTGAAATCCTGAGAACAATGTTTTGGCACGCTTCAGGATCTTCAAGCTGTTGTCATCCAACGAGGCAGTTCCCTCAATGGGAATGAACCGTTAAAGGGGCCTATGACGAGGGAGCATGAAGGGAGGGTTCATTCCAACATCGTTGATGACTCTTGGGTTTCCACTGATCCTCCTCCTCCGCCCTCCTCCTCCTCCTCCTCCTCATACTCCTCCTTATCCTCCTTCTCCTCCTCCTCCTCCTCCTCCTCCCTCCTCCTCCTCCTCCTCCTCCTCCTCCTCCTCCTCCTCCTCCTCCTCCTCCTCCTCCTCCTCCTCCTCCTCCTCCTCCTCCTCCTCCTCCTCCTCCCCCCGCGGGCCGAACAACTCCGGAGGGCCCCGGCAGCGCGCGACTGCCGCGGCTGTGCAACAGAGTGCCCACGGGCGGCCGCCGCCCGAACGGGGCCCCGAGCGCCCCCCGCCAACGACACGCACAGCGCCGAAGAGGCGACAACGCCCTAAACAGAATCGCAGGCCTAAAGGTTGACACCAACAGCAATATCGGCGGTGTGCCTCCACCGGAGGAAGACGATCCCGATCTCGGTGATGGTGGTAATATTCTGGCTTTCAAGGTGACCGAAATATTACCACCACCACCGAAATCTAGGATCATCTTCCCCCCGTGGAGGCAGCCCCCTGTGTTGGTGTTGGTGCCCATTTCCAAGCCTCCAACATAAGCTTCTGGCGCTCCGCGCGGATATTTCTTGGATCCGCGCCTGGGCCTCCCCGGCGGCGCCTCCTGTGCCGCCCCTGGTGCGCTCAGCGCGCCAGGGACGGGGTCCGGCGCGAATCCAGGAAGTCCGCGCGGAGCGCCAAAAGTTTATGTTTATGTTTTCTTGTCCGTCTTCTCAGCGACACGCATGGTGGCCTTCGGCTCAGCCCGCCACAGTGCCATGGGCAAGGCTCGCTCCAATTCCCCCGATGCGATTCGATCTCGATGGTTTCCGATGCCGATTCGATTATATTTCGGATCGCGATCTGGGCTCCGGTTTCTGCACGGAGGCTCCCCAGCCTGCCGATTTCCCGCTGATTCGACTTCTCCCAACTCTCGGCTGCCGATTTCCGCCGATCTGATTCATTTCGATCGCCGATCCGATTTAGCGATTCGATTCTGGGCTCGCCAGATGGTTGTAGGTCAGAGGCATCTTGGATGCCTGTGGGAACACCTTGGGGGGCCTCTCGGGAGCCTCTTGTTTGCGATCTTGGAAGGTCTTGCTGGCCTGTCGGCGGCTTCCTTGGGGCATGAATTCGGCCTCTTAAGGGCGTCTTGGAGCCTTCGGGGGGCTCTTGGGGGCCTGCTGGCGGTCTCGGGGGTCATCTTTGGGTGGAGTGCTCGAAGTGTTGGTTCCCTGTTGGGCCGTCTTGTTGTAGACCGATCGAGCCCTCTTGGCGCATTCGTGGGGACCGTCTTGGAGCGGTCGTGGGAGCATCCTGGGCCGTCTTGCAGCGTCGAAAGCCTGTAAAAGCAAGATCGCTAAACTCCTTCCGAGACCTAGGGCGACTCAATGAATTTGCATCGTGATCCTCCTGAAGCGCTATTCGGGCGTCCTGGGGGCTTCTTTGGTAGTCTTGGAGCCATCTTGGGCATTGGAGCGCTCGTGGGCTGACTCGGGGCCCTCTGGGACAGCCTCTGGGGTCTCTCGGGGCCGTTTTGGCCCGTCTTGGGCCCCCTTGGCTCGAAGAGTCCAGCGAGAGCACACGGCAAGCGCCAGGCAATCTAGAAATTTGGGGTCCGAGCTCGTCCACTCAGGACTGAGGACGGAGGGTTGCAGGTAGCTATGGACACTCCAACTCGTGCCTCAGGGTACGGTGGCGAACATGTGTTGCAAGAAGGAGCCCCTTTGATCAAACACAGTTTGCGGAAATTTGCAGGTCGGGGTTGTAAGAATCAATTGGCGTTGGCAAGCGCATAGATCAGGTCTAGCGCAGATTTGAAAGCACCATGACAACATGGTCTAGAGTGAGAGACGCCTACCCTACTGCTGTTCCCGAGCTGATGTCAATTACCAAAGCCCTGCCAAGGACTACAGCGCCCGCAGATTCAATGAGTTGCAGGCGAAGGTGCAACCAGCTTGCATCCGGGAGGATGCCATGGGGTACCCGTGACGAGTTTTGAGGTAGTTTCTGCGTTTGCGTTTAGAGTATCTTAATGAATACGGCAATGATTTTATTTCAAGGCATGTGCGCAGCATCTGCCGGATATCCATTGAACGATGTGAAGTGTATGCGTGATGTGTGTGCTACGCCCAACGGGCGGACATGGAGCCCTGTTCGAACTACAAGGAGTTTCCGTCGGTTAATTTGCGGGAACGGTGTCATCACAATTCATGCCATAGGGTGCGGGTACAAGTTGGTTGCGATATATTTGTGGCGCAGCTGGTGTGTGGAGTTAATTTGTTTGTGCTGAAAATGGTTGGGGCGCAGCTGGTGGTCTGCTGCCAGGATGCTCTGAGATAGAGTCCACCTAGGGTTAGTGCATTGAACACTCCATCGCGGAGTCGGCGGTGTCTGAGGATGATGCAGACCATGAGAAGTTCGAGATGCTGAAGCAATTTTGCGAGGAACATGGTCTCAATTAGCTGCACCACGAGAGGTCGTTCCTCGGTGGATCAGGGCTCGCAGACGCGGTCCCCGGGGGCAAGAATAGCATGGCTAGATCAAGTGATGTGTTCGTCTGGACGTCCAAATTCAGTTTGGCTGCCTGGCCGGGGAGCAGTCTACTCAGAGGTCGATCGGTAAGTATGTGATGTAGAGCGCATTGGTGCGCAGTTCCCGCCATGTATCCTATATGTGCGTGGTTGCTCAACCACCCTAGGTCATCTGATTGTCATGGAGACCGTGCTCCGAATGCTGTCCCGATGTGTGTGTATGTGTTCATGTGTTCGGAGGTGGATCGACCTCCTACCCTGACACGTTAATTAGTGAATTGGCAGTTTTCGGTTCGCAAGAGGGCGTCGCGGCCGTTATTTTTGCGGGTCTAGGTCCGTCGGTTTCGGTCCTAGGTCGTTTTACCTAAAGGGAGGTTTACTAAAGGGAGGTTTGTCCACCGCCGATGTGTGTGTGTGTGTGTGTGTGTTTGTGTGCTTCCTCCCCAGGGTGTCGAGCGTACCAGCGAACGTTTCGTTGTTTGAGGCGACGCGTGGAGGCAGCAGGCAAGGTGATTCAGACGTTGGGTATTCGGGCATGCTGGCTGATCCACGGTCAGGTCGGGGTTGGACAGACCTCCTACCCTGACACGTCGATTGAGGAATTGGCCGTTTTCGGTTCGCGAGAGGGCGTCGCGGCCGTCATTTTTGCGGGTCCAGGTCCGTCGGTTTCGGTCCCAGGCCGTTTTCACTAAGGGGAGGTTTACTACAGGGAGGTTTGTCCAATGCCGATTAGGCCGATGGTCCGACAGGAGCAAATAGACATGAAGTCAGGATTCGACATTCGGGTCAGGCATCCAGTCGTGAGCTCTTTCTCATGCGCTCAGGGGTTGTACGGGCCGGTAGTGGTCATGCGAATGCAAGACAAGTCTTCGCGCGGGAAGCACGTCTGTCAGAATTGATATTCCAGGGTTTGTTTGATCAGTTTTTGGTTCACGTAATTGTGCTCAGCCTGCACCGCGGCAGTTGATTTACATGGAAAACTGGATTATTGATGGATTTACATTTGCAATGGATTTGGAGCTCCGATTGAACCCACGTCTCACGTACTCCAAATTCACCTTGTGTCCGGCGTGAGGGATTCAACCCTCTTCGCACGGGGGACCATTCCTCAGGGAACCAAGGAAGGGAGGTTCGCGCGCATTGATTGGTTTAGTCACTTTGTATGCGCGTATGTGTTATGTTGTTTTGTTGTATTTGCGCTTTGCTTTCTCGTGTTGCTTGCTTGCACTGTCAGATTGGCTCGAGTCTGCCCCGAGACTGCGGTCATGGTGCGTGTGGGTTGCCTTGCGTTTGCTCTTAAACTTGCTCTCGGGTTCCCCGTTCGGCTGTTTTGAAGTTTCAGCTGCCATTGGCATTTGCCTCCTCCCGCCACTATGCTGAGGCCACACTAGATCCAGCGATGCTTTGAGAGGACCGGTATGGTGACGGAAAGATGGAGACGATGATCGCCAGCAGATCTTGCCCATTTTGAATTGGATCCGTTGACGATGCCACCGCGGACGACGTCTGCTTGTCGTGAGAAACGCCTGTCCCAGCGTGGTCGCTGCCGCAGTTGGACAATATTCGCGGTCGGCAATCTTTCGGCCAGTGCCGAGGGTGTGGTTACGCCGGAGTGTGGCTTGCGCTCTGCGTCCGTTGGGGCTCAGGGGGTGCCACGTTTCGCTCGTTGGTCCTCCTCGGGGCGCGGCGGAGAACTCCGTCTGCGTTCTCGCCCGCCCCCCAGGGAGCGGCTTGCAAACCAACTCCGGTGCAAACCACGTGCTTCGGAGTCGCCGAAGTTGTTCCACTTCGTCCAGGCGCCCAACTATTTCTGGACATCCCCCCCCCGTGGCACTGCGCCGCGTGTTGGCAAACAGCGTGGCGATGCTGTAGCGTGCCGTGGCCGTGACGTGTTCTGATTGTTGCGTCGTTTCTGCATTGCTGCTGGATGCCTCTCGGGGGACTCTTGAGGGCCTCTTTGACGCGTCTTGGAAGTGCACCCTGTGGCTGCGCGTGAGGGTGACCCTTCGCCGGAGTGACCTTTGGTGCGCGGCTTTCGGTGGGCCCTGGGGTCCAACCCAAGCACGCATGCCTCGCATGCAACAGTCGTCAGGCTGTGCACCAAAGGCCACTCTTGCCTACGGCCACTTTTGCGTCGAGCCTTTCAAGAGCTTTTGAGACCGCTTGCAGTCATTGTGGGGGGTCTTGGGCCTGTGTCGGGGGTGAGGAACGGGCGGGCTCTCAAACATTGTGCCCGTCAGGTCTTCGGCACCTCCTCGGGGCCTCTGGGCCTCTACAGGCCTTCGTGAACTCTTGGAGCCCCTTCTCGGGGTCCTCTTGGGCTCCCTGGGGTCCTCTCGAGCTACCGTATGGTTGCCTCTGAAGCCCAGCTGCCGTTTCAAAAGCTCCAACATGGATCTCAGATAGTTCAAGAGGGCCCAGGGCGGTTCGAGTCAGTTCCCTGAAGATGCCGTGATCATTCAACGAGTTCACGTACGTACGTTTATAGATTGTGTTCTCGCCGCCGAAGCCGCCTTAAACACTGTCAAGAAAGCCCAAGACGGTTCCAGGGGCCTCCAAGACAGCCCCAAGACGGGCCCTACGAGCCCCAGAACGCATTCAAAAGCCCCCCGAAAGGGCCCTACGCAAGGCCCCCATAGGTGGGCCAGCCTGAGCAACGCATGGGCTATCTTGAGGCCTCTGCGGCCAACTTTCAGGGCTAACCTTCGGGTCGCCTTAGGGCCATCTTGGGGCCACCTTGGGGCCATCTTGGGGCCATCCTGGGCGACTTGGGTCGTCTATTGGGGGCCCGTCTGGGGAAGTGTCGGGGTCTCCAGGGGCCGTCTTGGAGACACAATGGAAACATCCTGAGAGCAAGACGTGGGACAGGCAGCAGGCCTTGCACACGGTGGTGCTGTTCAGTGCGTGCTGCCCTCCCGTCGGCGCCCCGGGCTCTGATCCATTCGCGTTTTGGTTGGTGTGTGCTGAATCGGCCCTCGGGGTGCCTCCCGCGTGCAGGAACGGGGATGCCAGAGAGTCGGAGGCTGCAAGACGGGTTCGTTGGAAAAGGTTGGTTTCGCTGGACTCGAGGTCCTCCCAACCCGACCTTAGGCACTCCAGCACGACCTCAGGCGCCCCAGCAGCCGTCGAAATCACCGTGCTTGCACCAGACCTTCTCGCCGTTCTCGAGAGAGGCCGGGGGCGTCCAAGAGTCAGGCGATCGTAAGCATGGATCGAGGGGGCGTGGATTCGCGACGGGTCACGTTTTCATGGGAAATCGCGGATCTCCGCCGCCGAGCGAGGCGGCACTGGCCGCATTTTGGGGGAGGGCCTTCCCCCGATCCACGGATTTGGCGACCGCGCGCCAAGTCCACGGAGCGTTGATCCATGTCTGCGCGCCCCCGAGAGAGGTGGGGTGCTGACTGGGGGGGGGGTCACGGAGCGCACTCCGCTACGCGCAGAGTGCCCACCTGCGAACGTCCGAAAAAACACAAAGTTCTGCTTCGATGGACCTTCTCGTAGACCCCCCCCCGGCGTGTCCAGGCCGCTTGCGAGGGGTCACTCTGCGAGCAGTGGAGCGCGCTCGTCCAGAGAAGGTGGGCACCACGGCGGGGGCCCTGGCATCTCCTCCGATCCCACGGCCCCTCTGCTCATGTCAAGGCGCTCCCTGCATCCCCCCTGGTCCGCGCCCGTGCCCCGGGCCCGGGCCTGCGACCCCCCCGCCTCTGAAGCGCCCCCCCGGGCGGGGTCGCCAGCTCGAGGCTCGAGGAGTTCTGCCAGGGCGATTGCGGGGGGGCGGGCGTCTCCTGCGGCTCCTGGAGGTGCCTGGGGCCTCCCGAGGGCCCTGCTGCTTGAGGCGGTGGCGAGCCCCCGAGTGGTGACCCCCCCCCTGGCCCTCCTCCTGGGCGCCCCCGGAGAGGGCGCAGCCGGGGCCCCCCAGGTCGCCGCGGGCCCCCTGCCGCCGCGAGTCCCCGGCGGCCTGGAAGGGCGGCAGGCGCCGGCAGCGGGCGGACTCTGTGAGGGGCCCCGCGCGCGGGGCGGGCGGCCGCGGCGAATCGGGTGCTGCTAGTAGGAGGAGGAGGAGGAGGAGGAGGAGGAGGAGGAGGAGGAGGAGGGCCCTTGGCCCAAGGGGGACCCCAGGATCTCCACAGGCCTCCGCGGCACCCCTCACGGGGCCCAGAGGGCCCCAGGGGGCTCCAAGACGGCGCGAGAAGCTGGGGGCCAGGGCCACCCAGAAGAAGCAGGCGGGCCTTGAGGGAAGAGGGCCCGCCAGGCGGCTCCTCGCCCTTGGGCATCTCGGGGGCCCTCTTCCGGGCTGCGGGAGCGTCAACACACAATTGGTCGGGATGACGAGCCGCTCCCGGGGAGCGGGGGGCATCCCAAGGGATCCGGGAGTCCAGGGCCCCGCTCCGCCAGGACCTGCTTCCCTCCAGGCAAGGTCGGGAGCGCCTGGACCGTGGTCCCTCGCCTCGGGCACTCGCCGCGCCTCTCGGCCCCACCTGATCCGAACCTCGGGCCCCGACCCCCCCACCCGCCAGCTTCCGCGCTTGGGAAGTTCCCTTTCAGGCCGCCCAGATGGGATCCGAACAGGTGGGGTCGGAGGGTCGCGCCGCGTCGCCGATGCATCGGCGTTGTCAGCATGGAGGAGAACAGGCTCCACGTCGAGACGCATCGCCAGTGCATGCACGATCCTCCGACCCCATCTGCTCGGACCACCTGAAAGCCTGGAGGGCACTTCCCAAGCGATGGAGCTGGGGGGGGGCCGACTCTCCCCTCTGGTCTCAGAGGGTCGCGCCGCACCGCGGAGGACGCCCTTCGGCGGCGCGGCTCGCTGAGGAGCCCGATTCCTTCTCCGCGGGCCGACGGCGCCGCTGCATCGCCGATGTCGCCGATGCCTCGCCGATGCCTCGGCGATGCACCGCCGACGTCGGCGCGATCCTTCGCGGCGATCCGGCCCCACCTGCTCGGATCCGGGGCGTTCGGGGTGGAGCACCGCCGGGGGCCCGGAATCGGTCGACGCCGAGCGGTGCTGCGCTGTCGGGAGGCCGCGGTCGCCCGACGTTGGCACGTCCACGCGGCGCCAGAAGCCAGCTCCTCCTCCTCCTCCTCCTCCTCCTCCTCCTTCTCCTCCTCCTCCTCCTCCTCCTCTTGGGGGCGGGGCCTAGCCGCGCCTGTCAACGAAGCCATTGGATGGTCCGATCCTCCTTCTCTTCCTCCTCCTCCTCCTCCTCCTCCTCCTCCTCCTCCTCCTCCTCCTCCTCCTCCTCCAGCGCGCAAGCGCGCCACGGAAGACAGCGGGGCTGCGTTCGCCGACGTGGGCGCGTGAGCTGCCCGCGTCTCCGATGCAGCGTGCCGCTCGGGCGGCCCGCGCAAGCTGCGGCGGGGGGCGGCTATGTCAATGCTCAAGTCGGGCCTGTCCCTCCACAGGAGGACTCTTCAAAATAGTCAAAGAATAGTCTGGGGACGATTGTTCTCACTATGTTTGAATGCTTCTGGATCTTTTTCAGAGTAGCCTTTCTTTGTTGTCCAAAATCCGCATGTAGGGGACATGTCCGACCTGAGGCTATGTCTTCTCGCGCAGGACCGGGTTCTCTTCGTCGCGCAGGTGCCGCCACGACGCGGGCCCGCCGCAGTCTCGTCCACCCCGGCCGACAGCGGGGGGTGGCCGCAGGGAGGCGGGTCCACGGCGAGAGGGGCCTCCGCGCCTCTTGGCTCACCAGCCACGGGCGGCGGACGAAAGAGGTGTGGCGGGGGCGGCGGGGGTGGATGTCATGGCGTGGGCCATGATAGTTCCTCAGATTTCATGGCGCCTCTTCTTATCTCACTGCGTCCCTGGCACCCCCCCCGGCCGCGCACGCGCCGCCGGCCATGACTTGCGCCCCCCCCTCTCGAGCGCCCCCCTCGTGGCCGCCCTCGAGTGTGGGGGGCCGCGGAGTCTGCTGCCGGCGGCGCGTCTAAGAGTGACCTTCCGCCAGGGAGACCCCTGGCCCCAGACCCCCCCTCGAGTCACGAAAAACTCACGACGGAAGGTTTGTCTCCATTTCCAACCCCTTGGGTGCCTCGCCGGGCCTCGGGACTGTCAAAAACCGACCCGGGATGAAAAACCGGTCCCTGGGAAGGGGTCGAGGCTTCTGGGGGTCGACGTCATGAGCAAATCATGACGTCCGAGGTCTGGCGTGCGGCCACTGGGGTCCCTGGACGCTTGAATGCGATGCGAAAGCAGCGGCGAGCGCGCGCACGGGTTTTGGCCGTTTGCGCCACCCGAAAGCCGCGCACCATACATGACTCGTGCCTGGGGTCACTCTTGCCTGTAGCCCACCCCTCCTCCTCCTCCTCCTCCTCCTCCTCCTCCTCCTCCTCCTCCTCCTCCTCCTCTCCTCCTCCTCCTCCTCCTCCTCCTCCTCCTCCTCCCTCCTCTCCTCCCTCCTCCTCCTCCTCCTCCCTCCTCCCTCCTCCCTCCTCCTCCTCCTCCTCCTCCCCTCCTCCTCCTCCTCCTCCTCCTCCTCCTCCTCCTCCTCCTCCTCCTCCTCCTCCTCCTCCTCCTCCTCCTCCTCCTCCTCCTCCTCCTCCTCCTCCTCCTCCTCCTCCTCCTCCTCCTCCTCCTCCTCCTCCCTCCTCCTCCTCCCTCCTCCCTCCTCCCCTCCTCCTCCTCCTCCTTCTCCTCCTCCTCCTCCTCCTCCTCCTCCTCCTCTCTCCTCCTCCTCCTCCTCTCCTCCTCCTCCTCCTCCTCCTCCCCCTCCTCCTCCTCCTCCCCCTCCTCCTCCTCCCCCTCTGAACGGCTGCCTCTAGGAAGGAGAGGCGCCGTGCAGAGGAGTTGCACGCAGCCGATTCGCAACGTTTCCTCTCTGCTGACCCTCCCGGGGCAGCTGAGTCTCGAGCCCCACCTCGACCACGCGGAGAGGGGGGGTGGGGGGATTGGGGGAGGGCTTCTTAGGAACACCCCTGCTTCTTAGACAGCGCGGGCCTTCTGTGTAGATGTAGGGCCGGCGCCTTATGAGAAGAAGCAGCCTCCTTCCAAGAAGCCGTCCCCTCTCCCCCTACCAACTTGTGCGGCGCGCCGCCAACCCACCCCCGGCTTCGGCATCTGAGAAATAGCCTGGCGCATGCTGGTGAACCGCGCGGGGGTGGACCGATTTCTCCGTTTTCGGAGCCCGGTCGAGATCGTTCCCAAGGTGGTGGGGCGGGGGTCTGCATTGAGTGTTTAGTGGTGTTCCGCGTTGCTGGAACCCTTATACGACTCCTGCACCTGCGGGTCCAAAGGGCACCAGCGTTCTTCAAGCCCCCGCTGGAATGCATTGTGCCTCCGACATCCTTCGAATATGACGCCCCTGTACCCTGCCGTATGTCCCCGAATGTCAATTCTAGAGGGTTAGAATGGTGGTGAAAATGTGACACCATACAATCCAGAGCTTTGTGTGATGTACCTGGGACCTGTCACCAGATCCGGCTAAGGCTCTGGCACTGTAATTCAGTGCGTGTCCGCTCGAGGATGCCGCGTCTCAGGTACAGACAGTTCTGTCTCCCAAGCCCAGTCCAGGTGCGTCCCGTGCCTTGCCCGATCTAGGATGGTGTGCTCCCAAATCCAAATGATGGTGCGTCCCAGGACGGTCCCAGAGCCATCTTGTGCGTGCAAGCTCGATGATGGTGCGCCCAGGTCCAGACTATGGTGCGGCGCGTCCCAGGACTGTACCAGGTGCGCGCTTGTCCGAGCAGGGCGCGCATCAGGCACGTCGCAAGGCGGCCTCCAAGCCCTAGACATGCCGCCCGTCACGTCCTCAGACGCGTCCCCAAGAATGTGCCCTGACAGGGCCCCCATGCACATCGTTTGACGCTTTCACACGCGTCTCCGCGCACGCCCCATGAGGTGGCCACGGTCGCGTCGACAGGCACGTCGTCCGAAACAGCTCGAGGCACGTCCCCAGGCATGCCCACTGACACGCCCCCAGACCCATGCCCAGAGACGTCCCCTGACACGCCCCCATGGACGTCCCCCGACCCGCCCTCAGACACGTTCCCAGACAGGCTCCCCAGACACGTTTTCCTCGCAGCGCGGCAGAAGCGATACGCCACGCGCGCTCAAGCGGGCCAGGCGATGGTAAGCACCAGTTCGCCGGCTGCAAGAGAAGACGACACGGGCGGAGCGCGGCCGCAGGGGAGAGGAAGCGGAGGGGATCACTCACAGCGCGATGGACATCCACTGGAGTGGCCGGGCGGCCTGCTTGCGCTGACGCGGCCTGGCAGTGGACGCAGGGCGGCGCCACGGCCACGCCAAGGGGCTGAGGTGCAGGTTGCAGTGTGAGAGCGGAGCCAAGGCGCACCAGCGCTGGAAGGGGAGCGGCGAGCGAGCCCGCACGGGCGGGCGGCATCCAGGTGTTCGGCGGCAGCCCAGCGCGACAGGCTCCTTGCTGCCCAGGGGGCAGGCGGATGCGAGAATGCCCACACGCACAGAGGGGGGGAGGGCCGCAACGGCTCGCAGCAGCAGGGTGCTGCGAGGGCCCTGCCGTGCTGCTGAGAGACGGGCACAGTGCACGCCTGTGCAGCATGTGCCAGGGACTGAAGAGCCGCCAACCTTGCCAACCGGGGTGCCTCATCCTCGAGCCCCACCGCTGGCGCGCGGGGACAGGGCGGCTGAGCCGGCGGGCGGCGGCTGGGCCACGGGACGAGGGCGAGCCACACAGGCCGAGGCCAACAGCAGCCCGGCGCGCCCAGGGCGCAGCCCAGGGCGCAGGGCGTGGCTGCAGGGGCGGGCCGGCGGAGGCGGGGGCCCCCGCGCCCACAGGGGTTATTTTGGGTCCTGTCCCCCATACAGGGGGATGTTCGACGAAAAATATATATGCCAAACATATCTAAAAAGATAGTCCCAAAATAGTGCAGGGACAATTTGTTGAGTATTGTTTGACCTTTTTTGTAATATTTTTGGGGCATTTTTTTATTTTTCGTCGAAAATCCCCCTGTAGGGGGACACGCCCGACGTAACGCAGGGGGGAGGGGCCGCAGGCGCTCCCGGCCGATGCCGCCAGAGCCCTGCTGCGCTGCCGGGGTGCGGCCGCAGGCTGACGCGTTTCGCCAGAGGGAGCGCAACGCGTGCCAAAGGTGGCTGCGCTGCCTGTGCCACCAGCCGGAGTGACGCAGCACCAAGTCCATCGGGGCCGGGGTGGCGTCTGGCGGGGCGCGGGAACAGGGCGGCTGAGCCGAGGGGGGCGGCAGCAGGGGCCACGCGGCAGGGCTGCTGGCGGAGGTGCCGAGGAGGCGACCAGCAGGGCCGGTTGCAGGAGAGCGCTCCGGCGGGCGGCATGGCGCCGCACTTCGCGTGGGGGCCGCGGAGGGAGCAGGAGCGGGAGGGGGGCGGAGTGCCGGGCTCGGCCGGCGCACGCATCACAGCCATGCGCAGCCAAATCGTCTCGCCACAAGGCTGGTGAGGCAAGGCGCCCCGCGCTAGAAGCAGCGGGGCGGGGCGGAAGAGGGCGCCCTCCCAGCCAGCGCAAGCAACGCAGCGGGGAGGCCGCAGGACCGCCGCGCTATGAAGCCAGCGGGCGTGGAGCCCAGCTGGCTCTGCAGAAGGTCCTGCTGGCCCTTGCCCTGTCCCTTGCCATCCCTCCTGTCACACGCCCGGCTCCAGCCTTCCCACGGAGCAGCGCCCCGCAGGTGCCTTCGACACATGTGATGAGCTCTGGCCAGGTCTCCATGCGGTTCTCGGTCGCATTGCGGTGCCCACTGGATGTCGCAACGAGGCACCTTGTAGAGGCTGTCGTATGGAATGATGGTCCCGGCCGCGTCGTCGGTACGTGGGGTCCTCCCCCCATCCGCGGCCGCTCTCAACTGGAGTGTGATGCCAGTGGGGCGGGGCGCCCCAGGAGGTCCTGGAGTGCCTCTGTCCTGCACCCCTGCCCTGGCCTCGTCGGCAGCCTGGTAGCGAACTGAGCGCAAGGCTGGAGCGTTGAGGGGCGCACGTCCCGCGTCACCACCCAGGTTCGTAGGACCAGGCTGCCTGGTGTTCCCGCCCGGACCAAGGGCACCGTCAGTAGCGTTGGCGAGGCGTCTTCCGCGGGTGATCCAGGCCAGGTGCGCGTTGTCTGTCCCGTCCCAGACCGTGAGCCACTCGACCCCAATCCGTGCGTGCAGGTGCAAATCCGAGTGGACTTCCTCTACCGGCCCCGTCACTCTGCCAGGTGGTAGGTCGGGCCAGAGCCGCCCGGCCGTCTCGTCAGCTGGCCCGTACCCGCACGGGGGACGCGCGCCGCTGTCATCCCTGGCCATCAGCCAGTAGCTTGCCTGCACGTCTTGCGCGCTGCCGGCGTGCCGATGTGCGACGGCTGGCTGGATGGAGGGGGCGAAGGAGGCGGTGCTCGTCGCCCGTCTTCGTGCTCCTTGGATGGTCTGGGCTGCCTCGAGCCCATGTTGTCGGGATCGTGCGGGAGCGGTGGTCACTTCCCGTCGCCTCCTCGCTCGTCGCCGCTCCGGTCCGGGGTGGGGTCGCGCCGGTCCCCGGCCGCCTGCTCGTCCGGGGAAGGTGCGGCTTCGTCATTATTGGCTGTCCCAGGAGCAGCCGCGTCGCTCTTTTCCCCGCCTGGGTCGGCCAGGTGGACGGGCCTGGCGCGTTGGATCGGTTCGGCCGGGGTGCCGACGGCGGGCAGTTCCCGAGGCAAGTGGCCAGGGCCATCGGCTGCGGCGCCAGTCGCCGGCCCTTGTGGCCGGTCCGCAGGTGCCCCCTGCGGGGGGCGTCTGCTGCCTCGCCGGGAAAGGTGGGGCGGCGGCAGCAGGCGAGGGCTGGGGGCGCCTCGAGCGCTCGCTCCCGCGGCTTGGCCAAGGGAAGGAGAGCTGGGGCATTCGTCCAGCGGATGCCTAGGCGCGCGCCAAGAAGAATGCCAGGCCATCCCCGTCACGCCCGGGCGGCTCCGCGCCGCGCGTGGCCACTCGCGGCCCCAGGAGTGGCTCCCATGCCGCCCTCTGGTTGTCGGCTCTGCTGCCCTCGTTCGTGTTCTACTTTTTTTTGGTTGTGGGGGGGGGCCAGGCTCAGGAGGGGGAAAACACACACAGACACAATTAATCGTCGATTCCCCCCAAAAATATAGGAAAATATGGGAATTGGGCGGGAAGACAAAAACCCAGAAACTATAAGAAAATATGGGGAATCTTTTTATTTGTGTGTGTATTTATTTGTGTGTCACAGGGCCCCTTCACAGGCAACGGCGTGGGCCAAAGAGCGCCCTGCCTCTGCCGTCCCAGGGAAAGCTGGCTGGTACGCCAGAGCTTTGCATGGCGTCGCCATGCGTCGGTGAAACTGAAGACTCGAGTGCGCCGGGATTCGGCTTAGCCGACGTTTTTTGACGAGCGCGTCCTGGATTTAGACGGTTCTTTTTGTTCGTGAGATGTTTGCAGCGGGAGCTCGCGTCAAATTGCAGACTGGGTCTCGCCATTTTTGTGATGGCCCCCTGAGGCCAACCCGAGTCCCCCGAACCCGAGCCTTACGTCTCCCCGAATATATATATATATATATATATATATATACAAGACTGCAGTGGCGCTTCGCGCCATGCACCTTGGTCCTTGAAGATTGCTATGCAGGCGGAAAAGACAGGAAGGTCAGGCGGACACTTTAACGATAACTCCTTGCTGCCTTTTCTGGCATCGCCGTTATAATAATGTTGTTCGTTATCCTTCATCCATGCTCATTTTTCCTCATTCTCGCCATACCCTGGGCATGCTCCCCATCTTCCTCAGCTCTTTTTGCGGAGGCTCCTCCTTGGAGAGCCTCTGGGAGCCTCACCAAAGTTCTCAAGCTTTCTTAAAGCCTTCTGGATGCCTCCTGGGCGTGTTCTGGGGGCCTCTGGGGCTTCCGAAGGCCAACCTGCCTCTAACCGCGATCTCGCTGAACGCCCCGGTCACGATTTGGAATGCTTCGGAGGGTGTCTTGGGGCCATCTTGGGCCGCCATGGGGCTCTCTTAGGGCCATTTTGGACCCCTGGTGTGCCGTTTTGGGGCTCTCCTGGACTGCCTGGAAGCCCTTTCGGATGGCTGTGGGGCGATTTTGGAGCCTCCCAGGCGACTTCGGACGCCCAGAAGACCGCTGTCTTGGAGCGTCGGGAAGCCGAAAAGAGGAGAACCCCAAATTCACCAAAAGCCTACATTGAATCAATGATTTGTCCCTCTTGGGGCCTTCTTGGGGGTGCTCTTGGAGGCCTCTTGGTACGTTTTGGAGCGATCTTTCGGGGTATGACGGCTTCTTGGAGCGCTCTTGTGCTGTCTTAGGGTTCTCCAGGACGTCCTCCGATGACCCCCTTGATCGCCCTAGGTGTGCTGCGAAGGCTTGGCAAAACGCCCTGCGAGGCCTGGGGGGCCGCTTCGAGGCCCGTCCGAAGGGTCCCAAAGCCCCAGATCCCGGGAGTCCGTTTTTTTTTGGGGGGGGGGGACGGGTTTTCCCCCCGCCCGGGCTTGTAAAAATATAGGAAGAGGAACATGAATCATTCGCAGGAAGGTGGTGCGTGCACTACGGTCCCAGCAGCGGGCGTCCATCTTTTTGCCATCTGTTTTTTGGGGCTCCGTACTGGCCTGCGCCTGGACCCATCGTCACGCCACGCCTCCCCGATACCAGGATGGAGCCGCGTCGATCGGAGTGACCGGGGCCAGGGCGTCGAGGAGGGGCCCCGCGAGTAAGTACGCAGGGGAAGGAGGAGGAGGAGGAGGAGGAGGAGGAGCAGGAGGCGGAGGAGGAGGCGGAGGACCTCCCCATCTTCCCTTGTCCCCCGTCCTACCTGTGGTAATGGTGGTGGTGGAAAACTGGCCCATCAAGAAAGGGACAGCTCTCGAAAGGGCCTGTCACGAGTGTCTGCGCAAAGTCCCGAAGGACATCCTCGCTCATCTATGCGGGGATCTTGGCGACTCCTTCTGGAAAAGCTGGCTGGCACCTGTCCCAGGCATCGCGCTGACTCCATCAGAACTAATCGCCCAGGAGACTACGCGGGCGAACATGAACTGCCGGCAAGTCTCCACCCAGCTCCATACGCCCCGATCCAGCTGGCCAGCGTCCAGGACTGTTCCATCCTCTCACAGTGTCGTGAGGAATCGTCGCAAGACGGGGTCCTCTAGTGCCGCTGGGGCCATACTGCGACCTTCCAGGTACCTGCCGCAGAAGCTGACTCAATGCTGGTTGATGGCCTGGCTGTAGTTGCGCCGCACTTTGCCCAGGCTCTTACCCAGGCACATCTCCTGACACGGCTCCAGACACGTCCCCAGGCACGCCAGGAGATACGCCTTGGGACACCTCACCAGGCACAGGCACGTCCCCAGACACGTCCTTTGACGCCTCCCCAGGCACGTCCTCTGACAAGGCCCCAAGCGCGCCCCCAGACGCGTCCCCCACAGGCCACGCTGTCCACACGGAGATCGAAACTGCCATTCGGGTGTCTTGCCGTCTTTTCTCTAGCGGGGCCCGCATGAATGTGCTTCGCGTGCGGTTGCCCAGTGTTGCTCCCGCCAGCCCTCCCCGGCCGCTCCCTCCCGTCGCGCGCCGCGTTTTCAGGAAGCGGGCGGTGCCTGCTTGCTGCCTCGGGGAGCCCGCCCGCGCAGCCGCGCTTCCCCTGGCAGCGAAAAAAGGCCTCAGCACGGACACGCGTCGGTTCAGAGCGACCTCGTGCCGGAGTGATCTTTTTCTGCGCCGCCCAGATGGGGTCCGAGCAGACGGGGTCGGAGGATCGCGCCGCATCGCCGATGCATCGACGATGCGGCTTGATGCGGAGCCCGATTTCCTCCACGCCGACGTCGCCGATGTGTCGCCTACGTTGGCGATGCATCGCCGATGCATCGCCGATACATCGCCGATGTGGCGCGATCCTCCGACCCCATCTACTCGGACCCTATCTGGGAGTCCAGGAGGCCTCCATTTTTGATGCGGGCACATTGGGGCCCACAGCTGGCTGGATGCGATTCGACAGCAGCGGCCTGTGCGCTCGGGTTCGCCCGCCCCCCCCCCCCGACCCCCGAAAGTCCACGCACCGAAGGTCACTCTTGCCTAAGTAGGGTCACTCCTGCTTGTAGCTGACTGGGACGGGGCATGGCTGGCCTCGGCAGACCTGTGCGGGCACGGCCGGCGCCTCCTGCTCAACCTCCTGGCAATCCGTTTGGCCGCCTGCCCACGCCACGGGGGAGGGCTGCGGCACGGATCTCATGGACATTGTGTATGGAAAGACGCGGCCTCGGATCCCAAGCAGTAGGTTTGTGTGGTGGCAACACAGGCACGGGAGCGTGGTATGTCCTCGCAATCCCGCTTTTGGGGTGCAACAGCGTGCGGTAGCAACCGGTAGTCGAAAGCGCCGCTTTAGCGTCGATTAGCGCCGATTCAGCATCGGTTAGCGTAGAATAGCGTCGGATAGCGTCGACTCGCAAGAGCCAGTAAGATGGTACGGGAGGCTCACATGAGTTGCCACAGGAGATTCAGGGGCCCTTGCATGTCTACGAAGGCTTATGCTCAGGAGGGAAATAATGTAGACACAGACAAAAGCGAACGTCGATTTCTAACAAAATATTGAACATGTGCGAAATGGAGGGGGATACGACAACCCAGAAGATCCGCAACAGTATGTAGAACTCTGTAACGCGTGCCTGTCTGCTCGTGCTCCTCTGCGCGCGTTCGTGCGTGGGACAGGCCCTTCCTTGCCGCGGTCGGCCCTTCGCCCGCGGGAGCCCCGTGGGCTCGTGCCCCCGTGGCCCCGGCTGCCTGCCCGCTGCAGCCGACCCGCCGCTCGCGCGCGCGGGTGGCCCTGCGGGGCTGCTGCCCTGCGGCGGGTGCCCTGCGGCGTCGCGCAGCCCGCCTTGGGCGGCCGTGGGCTGGTGCTCGGCGCCTGGTGCCCCGCATCTCGAAGAGCCTGCGCATGACATTTTGGCGGCCCGCGCGGATCCAAGAGGTCCGCGCGGGCCGCCGGAAGTTTGTGCCTGTGCCGTCTTCCCGTCCTCAGGGCCGGGGGTGGTCAGGGGTAGGTAGTTCCCGGTTCGCGTTGGGGGCCCCACCCGGAGTTGCGCCGGACCAGAGTTATCCCGGATAAGTCGGGCGTCCAATCTATCCCGAATCAGTGAGGTTAGGGGTGGTCAGGGGTAATTCTTTGCTCGTGCGTCGGGAGTCCAAACAGGAATTACCCCAGACCAGAATTATCTTGGACACCTCGGGCGTCCAATTGCGCTTGGTGGCTTGCGGTGTCCTGGTGTCCGATTAGCTGTGAAATTCGGTGCACCTCCCTCCCCCCATCCCCTTCCTCCTCCTCTCCCTCAGCAACGGGGCACCGTGTTCGCATGGTTTTACCAGCTCGAAACATAGCACCTTGTCTCGGTGCCGATCTTAAGGATCCCCGCAGTTTCTGAGGGCACGTCCCTCAGATTGTCATCGCCTTTGGTTTGCCCACCTTAGCGATAAGTCCAAATCTGGCTGTGTGCCTGTCGAAGCTGGCCGTGGGCGCGCTGGTGCTTCGTGAGTCGGTGACCTGCAGTATGCACGCCAAAGAAGGGACCCACGAGGTGGAAGAGGTACCGATGCCGCTACCCTTCCTCGTCTTCGCCTCTCTGGGCATCCGCGGAGGCCCTCGTCGCCACAGCCGGATTCCCTTCGAAACTCCTTGGCAAAACACACCGATCGCCGAAAGCGATGCGACAGTAGTGTCTTGCGCGCTTGGGTTTGTCCCCCCCGCAGTGCCCCCGAAGTCGCGCACCAAAGGTCACTCTTGCCGAGGGTCACTCTTGCGTGTAGTCGACCCACGGAAGTTCCCTGTACCCCGACGAGGCCCTTGGAGGCCCACAGGCGTCCTGGGGTACCTCACGAAGCTCAGAGATAGTTGGCGAACGTGCTGCTAGACTTCCTTCTTTGAGCTGGAGCTCTTATCCTGCTGCGATGCCGTGCGATTTCGCCACCGCGCTCGGGCGGGCGGCGGGGGGGGAGTGGGGGGGGGGGGCGCATGGGGGGGTGGACCACTTTCTGCCTGGCGGGCCAGAAACGCCGGGACCTGGCCACAAGAGTGAGCGCACCTCGGGCTCCCTGCGTCGGGGGCCCCACGTCTTGCTTCGCAGCGGGCGACGGGGCCCGCCGCACACCAGCTGCGGCAAGCGCGGTGGCAGATCCACCCAGTGTCCGCTGTCTGCCCCCGGTGGCCTATGGCTCCGGATGCTCTGCGGTCGGCCGTTGGCGGTGCCTTGCGGCTGGTGCCCTGTGGCGCCCTGGCGGGTCGCCGTCGGCCGCTTGCTGCGCCGGCGCCCCGTCTGCGGGCTGGTGTGCCTTGCGCGTCGGTGCTCTACGCGTCGGTGCTCCGTGGCTCAGAGGAGAGAGGTGCACCCCATGCCGTTACCCTTCCCGGCATGCGCCCATTCCGCTTCCCTTGCCTCGTTGTCCCCTTCGTGGGCCTCTCGAGAGGCCCTCGTCGCCACCGCTGGATTCGCCTCGAAATTCTTGCCAGAACGCGCCCAGGGAGAGGTCCAGGGAGTAGCGGTATGGGTGCTTGTTGGTTTCCCCGCCGGCTGTTGCCATGCGTCTGGAACCCTGCGGCTGCACCACACACTGTGGGGGCGCTTGTTGCGGCATGTGCCCACGAGGCTTGAGGCCCTGGATGATCCCTTGTCTGACGGCCAAGCCTTCGTTGTTGGTCTACCAGCTTCAGGCTCAAGCCATTCTGGCTCGAGCCCGGGGCTCAAGCAAGGGTGAGTGAAGGCCACAGCGGCGGCCCTCACTTCTTCCGGAGTGCAGGCCTCCTCCTGGCCAGACCCAATGGCATCACAGTGCCAGCGCGTTTTTCTGACCGTCTCGAGCCTCACGTCGGTGTTTGTTTCTGGTATCGTGTTCGGATGGGCAGCTTTTCACCAGATGTTTCTCAAAGAAGGCTGCTACGAGCACTAGTGCGGTCCCGACGATCCTGTTCATTGTGATGCGCAGATTGCGGCCCTAAACACGGCATTCACCGCTGCGTCGACCATGGTGTCCTTAGTGGCTCTTCCAGCAGGTATCTTCGTGGACTCGTGCGGTCCAATGCTGGGTTGTTTGGTGGCTGGGGTCTCGAACAATATAGGCCTCATCGGCATGGGTCTCTCCAGAAAGGATCGATAGCGAAGAGCACGACGTCTTTTTGTATGCTCTTAGCGTCCAGGCCATCGGGGGATCACTCACAATGTTCTGTGAATGCACGGTGCCATTTCTTTTTCCTAACCGCGCCAAGTTGTTGATTGAAACGAACGGTTGGTTTTTCGACGCCAGTGCAATTTTTTCCAATATTCAAGATCCTTTTTGACGCGGGGCTTTCTTTCGAGGTGATGTTCGAAATCTGTGCGGGCGTTGCCGCCACGAGTTTCTTCTCGGCGGTGGTCGCCTGGAGTTTCTCCATCAAGGACTTGAAAGAGATGAAGGGACGTGCCAGCGACGCACCCGTTGATGGGAAAACCGATGTCCTCTCTTCGAAGCCTTTCGGGGCTCAGCTTCGCACCTTGGAATTTGCGGCCATCCTAGTGATCACGACCATGCAGATTCCACGATCGAGCGTTTACATGGGGAGCGTCGACCTGGTCAACAAACACATTGTCGAACAGAGCGGGTAGGAGACGTGCTTGGACACGGTCGAACCAATCTGGCCTCCACTCTGTGCCGCCAATCGAGTTCTGCGTCCACCGAGGAGGTATCATGTTTACCATCTACCTTACCACCGTGATTGGCTATTTATATATATACATAGTCACATATGAAGAGCGGCTTGCAGTGCGTCCTGGAGCTCTTTACGCAGCTTGCCCTGGTTATAGCTTTTGCCGCGTGGCGGGCACTCTGGTTCGGCATCATCAGCACACACAGCGCGGAGCCCTTCAGGCTGCAGTCGATGGGTCGCGTCATGGGCCTTCCTTTCCTATTCTCCGGCCTTGCCAATTTCGTCCAAGCGCCCCTGATCTTTTGGACGTTGGATGCTCAGATCGGAGACTTCACCTGGACGTTGCTCATCATCCTGCTGGTATCCGTACCTTTGCCCCTCCTGTTCGTCGCCGTTCAGGTGAAGCAGAGAAAGATGGGCACGGTCGTTGCACGCACGGCCAGCATCGTGCGTGCCGAATCGATGCACATGACGCATGCTCTGACGCATGGTACCGCGTGCGGAGGGCCAGAACCACATGTGTTGAGCGCCGCTGTAGAGCGCTCGAGGTCAGCAGGGAGGGAGGGCGTAATATGATTGGACCATACATTAGGTATCGGCCGATTGTGGCTTGTTGCTTGCACGACTTCCCCGAATCAAAATGATAAATGTTGCTCTTTCATTTCATCCACCCCATCCCTCTACTTCCTCCCCTCCCTCCTTCTCCTCCTCCGCACATGGGTTGGAATACTATGTTGACATTGCTGTGTGTGTACCGGCGGTGTAGAGCACTGTTGAGTCGTCTGCCGACTATGAGGCTAGATCCGAGCTTGGGGAACGAAAGAAAAATGGATCCTTATCCAATGCCCTCGCCATTGTTAGAGGGGGAATGATAGAGCTTATCTGCTGGGTCCACGCGTAAGCATCATGATTCATATCCGTCGACTGTGGCCCTGCTAGGCCGGGCGTCTCACAGGCAGGAGGCCTTCCCTGGTTGCGTAACTGGTGTGGTTGATCGTTTTGACTCGTGCGCTCCACGATGTGCCAGCCCCTAATGCCACCGCGACTGTGAACCGTAGACACGGTCCATGCCTCAAATTCTCTCCATCTCGCCAAATGCTTCTCAGCTCTGCCGGGTGCACAGTGGCCCGCTTCCCTTCGGGCGCAGGTAGAGGCCTTCAAGCTGTCTGACATTGGCGAGGGCATCGCTGAGGTGCAGCTGACCGAGTGGTTCGTGAAGGAGACAGACCAGCCCAGGGACTGTCTCTCCAGAGCGCTTCCCAATGAATTTGCGGGTTGTGAGATCATACAGGCGGGGTGGATTAGTAGGTCGGGCCTGCCAGACCAGGGGTACCCTTCTGTCCTTCGCACATCGCGCCCGCGGCCTTCGCGGGGGCAAGGGTTCCCCTGTGCCCCGTGGTTTCGGGAGGCCGTGCTGCCGCCTGGAGAGTCTGGTGCCCTGTCGCGTGTCCTGTGCAGGCAGCCCCGCTTGCGTGCGTTCCTGTTGCACCAAAATGACGCGGTTGATGACCCACACCCGCCCGTGATGCAGCCCTGGGGGGGGGGGGAGGCATGGAGCCCCCCAGGAGGGGGTGTCTGGGCGGAACAGAGAACCACAACCACAACTAAGTGGATTTTTCGGGCGGGGCCTTCGGGGGAGAACCCACCGACCTTCACGTGAGCATTCTGGTCGTGGTTGTGGTCGATCTGGCCGTCCTGGGACGCCACGTCGACCACAGCCGGTACGACATTGGTTTCGGTGTTCCGACACTTTTTGGCAGGTGCAATCTATAAAACAGGTGCATCTATAAAATTTTTCCGGCACTTTTTGGCACTTTTTTTGGCAGGTGCAATCTATAAAACAGGGCTAGGATCGGGATAAGTCGCTCCAGAGCGTTCCGGAGCGCTCCCAGAGCGTTCCGGAACGCTCTGGAGCGGCCGCGGCGCCCAATACATCCTCCAAGCCCGCCGATTCTCAGAGATCTCGAGCTATCCCGATCCGATTCTGCCAAGATCTTCGCGTCGTTTTGCCCTATCCCCCAGGGTGGGTCTTCGATGTGGCTGTGGTCGCTCGTTGCCCCCGCAGGGGTGGGGAGGGGGCGCCCGCGCGGTGCGCCCCGCGGCGCGCGCCTGCCCCATCTCCTGGAGGCCGGAGCGGCCAGCGGAGCTGCGGCGCTCCGCCGGGCCCAGCGAGGCCGTGCAGGTTCGGCCACGGCCACGGCCCAGAGTCCAGCGAGGCGACGGCCCAAGATCAGCCACGCGCAGAGGGGGGTGGGGGGAGGCGGGAGGGCTTCTTAGAGGCACCCCTGCTTCTCAGAAGGCGCGGGCCTTCCCTACAGACGTAAGACTAGCGCCTTCTACGAAGCGGCCTCCTTCTAAGAAGCCCTCGCCCCTCCCTCCACCCCCTTGTGCGCGCCGCCAACAAGAGGCCACAAGACGACCCAAGAGGCCGCCACGACGCCCAAATGGCCTCTAAGACTGCCCTGGAGCACCCCAAGAGAGCCCCGAGTCGGCCCAGAGAGGCCCCCCAAACGGCTTCTGACTGCGTCAGACGGGCCAGGAGCCCACCAAGATGGCCGAAGTTGGCTCGAAGCTGGCCCAAGACGGCCCAAGAGGCCTCCAAGAGGGCCTCCAGGAAGGCCAGAAAAGGCCAAGAGCACTGATTCGCCATCGGTTGGTGAAGGATCTTGGCACTTGCTTCGTTTCGGCCTTCCGACGGCCCGATACGGCCCAAGAGCCCCCAAAGATCGCCGAAAGATCGCCCAAGAGGCATCCAATATGGCCCCAGAACGGCCCAAGAGGCCCCCAAGACGGCCCCAAGAGGCCCCCAAGACGGCCCCAAGAGGCCCCCAAGACGGCCCAGGAGGCTCTTAAGACGCCCAAGATGGCCTCCAAGACGGCCCTGGAGCATTCCACGAGGGCCCTAAGTCGGCTCAGAGAGGCCCCCTAAACGGCTTCCGACGGCGCCATTCCGAGGCCCGTAACTGGCGTTTACTAGACGGCCCTGGGCGTTCACTAACAGCCCTGCCCTGTTCGATTCCTTCTTCGTGCGCGTTTGCAAAACGGCTTCGCTTGTCGGGGTGATGATTGCCCAGACCCCCGACGTCAGGAGCTTTCAGAACGTCGACCCCCAGAGGTCTCGACCCCTTCCCCAGGACCAGCTTTGCATCTCGAGCCGTCTTCGGACTGTCCCGAGGCCCTGCGAGGGCCCCCGCAGTCAAGACAGGGAGAGAGAGAGGCCTCCCGCCGTGATCTTTGTCATGACTCGAGGAGGTCTGGGTATGGGGGTGCTTTTTTTTTCTCAAGGGCATAAGAAACGCCCCTGACCTGGTTTGCGAGGCGCTGTGCGCTGAAACTCCTGTGGGCTGACAGGGCAAACCCTGCGTGATCTGCGGCGTCCTGGCGGCTCTCTAGGCTGGAGGTTTACAGACCACGCACTTGTAACCCAGGGTAGGGTCGTTTTTTCATCCTTCAGTTGTCTACACTCCACAGATCTCCCTCCCCCCCCAGCGCACCTCCCTGGGCCGGGCCGCGGCGTGGCCGCCATGTCTCCCGGCCCGTGGTGCAGCCCCCTTGGAGGCGGGAGGCACGGCACCTCGGGCAGCAGCGACGGACCGCTCGGAACAAGACTGGGAGCGGCCGGTGCTGGGGGGCTGCGTTCGGCCGCCGGGGTCCTCGCCGGGCCTCGGGGCCTTCAACAAAAACTACTCAGGACGGAAAGCCGAACTTGACTCCGGTCCGGCTCTTCGTCCTGAGTTGTTTTAAATGGGGCTGTCTTCGGCCTCCGGGGGTCCTCGCCGGGCTTCGGGACCTTCAAGACAGGACTCAGGCCGAAGAGTCAGTCCCAGGGAGAGGTCCAGACGTCCAGGGCCCATGCATCGAAAATGTTTTGGAGCGGCCTCTGGGGCAGCCATCCAATCGGAGGCGCTGCAGCGACAAGCCCAGACTGTTTACTTACAGGGACACCGACGGTGCTGCCCCATGCCCTCGGAGCATCGGGTGGTATGGCCGCGACTCCCACACTCGTGGTAGCGTCCACCAGTACCTTCACGCACCGTGTGGATACATTGGCTCCCATGTCGTCGTAAAAAGCCGAAGTGGAGCGGCTGGTGCTGGGCTGTTTTCGGCCTCCGGAGGCCCTCGCCGGGCCTCGGGACCTTCAAACAAAACGACTCAGGACGAAAAGCCGATTTTGAGCGGCCGGTGTTGGGGGCTGTTTTCGGCCTCCAGGGGTCCTCGCTTGATCTCGGGACCTTCAGAAAAACGATTCATGTGCAGGACGAAAAGCGGAACTGCAGCAGCCGGTTTTGGGCTGCTTTCGGCTTCCGGGGGTTCTCGCCAGGCCTCGGAATTTTCAAAAGAACGACTCAGGACAACAAGCCGAACTGGAGCGGCCGGTTTTGGGCTGTTTTCGGCAATCAGGGGTCCTGGCTGGGGTCTCGGGACCTTGAAAACAGGACTCAGGACGAAAAGCCGGTCCTGCAGTCGGTCCTGATTAGTAGGTCGACCCTGCCAAATCAAGGGTACCGTTGTGTCTTGCATTTCGAGACCCATGCCTCCCACATTCCTATGTCAGCGTGGTTCTCGGGAGGGTCTTGCGTCCTCACTCGTGTCCTCTCCAATCCAGTCCGACTGTAGGGAGGGGTTCAGACGTCCAGGGCCCACGCATCGAACAAGTTGTGGAGCGGCCAGATGTGTAGGGAGCGAGGAGGTATGCACGGGTTCGCTCGGCATTGGCATGCGAGCGCGCCGGTGCAGTCCCAAGTCGATTTCGCTGATCGACGTGTGCATCGTTGGGTGCGCCCGCATTTTGTTTGGACGTCGACTCGCTACCCCGCTGGGGTGCATTCGGAGTGCGGTCCCGTTCGCACGTGGAGTTATTCGGGTGTGCTAACGGGGTTCTACTGTCCGCCTCTGAATACAACAAATGACGATCTCAAGACTCAGGAGTATGTCCACTATCCAATGTTCTGGTTGTCCGCCACTTCGTGGCACATGGCGGCCCATACACAGACAATATATTTGTTTCAACACCTGTCGCCCGGAGATCTTGCCAGAACACTATACACGGCACGTTGTCCTGTGGCGTTTCTGCGAAGCTTCATGGCCCAGATGCCTAAGCGTACGTAGTACCTCGCAGTTGCGGATAAGAGTGAGAGGGCGGCGGGGACGTCGGCAGTCTGTGAGGCTGTGATGAAGCCCGCCACAGGCGCCTAATTTCCACAGGTTACACAAAGAGCCCGCCGTAGGTGCCAATTTTTTCCGTTTAAGCAATGTGGTTGGGTCGCGGGTGGGTCGCGGCTGAGTCGCGGGTTGGGTCGCGGGTGGGTCGCGGGTGGGTCGCGGGTGGGTCGCGGCCGAGTCGTGGGTTGGGTCGCGGGTGGGTCGCGGGTGGGTCGCGAGTGGGTCGCGGGTGGGGTCTTGGGCCCGGTCGCGGGGGGGACCACCACAACAACAACATCAGTAGTAACAACAACAACAACAACAACAACAACAACAACAACAACAACAACAACATCAGTAACAACAACAACAACAACAACAACAACAACAACAACAGCGCAACAACAATGACAACAACAATCAGAATTTGTGCC